GATCTCTGCACTAGGCACAGGAAAGTGGCCGTCTAGGGCAGGAGAGGTGCCAGCCTGGCCACCCAGGACCAGGTGTGCATGAAAATCAAGGGGGTCCACTGAGACCCCCGACCCTGAGCCCTGAGCTTACAATGGCCGTACTGGGTCAGACCAAAGGTCCATCTAGCCCAGTATCCTGTCTGCCGACAGCGGCCAACCCTAGGGACCCTGGAGGGGATGGACCGAAGACAGTGATCAAGCCATTTGTCTCGTGCCATCCCTCTCCAGCCTTCCACAAACTTTGGGCAGGGACACCACTCCTACCCTCTGGCTAATAGGACTCCATGGACCCAACCTCCATGACTTGATCTCACTTCCCTTTAAACTCTGTTCTAGTTGTAGCCTTCACAGCCTCCTGCAGCAAGGAGTTCCACAGGTATACTATTTGCTTTGTGAAGAAGAACAACTTTCTCTTACTAGTTTGAAGCCTGCTACCCATTCCTTTCCTTTGGTGTCCTCTAGTCCTTCTTTATGGGAACTCATGAAGAACTTTTCTGAATGCACCCTCTCCACCCAACCCCTGCTTTTAGAGACCTCTATCCTGTCCCCCCTCCGTCTCCTCTTTTCTAAGCTGAACAGTCCCAGTCTCTGTAGCCTCTCTTCATCTGGGACCTGTTCCCAACCCCTTATCATGTTAGTTGCCCTCCCCTCTCCCAGCCTTTCTCTTCCCCTCTCCCACCTCCTTTTCCCAGTCTCCCCCAGTTTTGTTCAATAAAGACAGAGTCAATGTTGGAAGAAACGTTATCTTTATTTTGTACATCAATAAGAAGGGGGGCTAGGGAAGGGTAAGTGGAAGGAGGTGAGGGAGGAATGGGGTACGAGCCCCCGATGGGGAGGACTGGGCTGGCTCTGCGGGCTTCTGGGGGTGGAAGCTCTCCTGCAGCCCCCCAATTGTCCCCTCTCCCCAGATGGCAGCCTGCGGCAAGTGCTGTGATGTGCCCAGTGTGGGCACTCAGGGCACTCCAAGCCAGGACTGGTTTTCAAGCGGGGCACCCCTGAGAACTGTCTGTCCGGGGTGGGGGTCGGGTCCCTTTAAGTGCAGCCCTCGGCTAGCCTGAGACAGCATCTCCACGCTCTAAGTCCTCCTCTGATGCCCTGCCGGCACTGCTTCCGGCCATCCTTAAGCCCGGTTCAGGGTCCACTTAATGTGGACATGCTAATTCGAGCTAGTTTTTAGTTCTAGACATGTTAGTTCGAATTATCTTAGTTCGAATTAACTAATTCGAACTAAGTTAGTTCGAATTAGCCCTGTAGTGTAGACGTACCCTCATATTTCCCTGTGATAGACCTCTATTCTCAGGATGAAACCACCTTCTCTGTTTCTCTTCAGAGGACCTTCTTTCTGTGCATCTAGCCATATTTCCTTCTCCCAACTACTGTTTTTGAGATGGGATGACTGACACTGAAAATGGCACTCCTAGTTGGTGGTTTATGTAATGGCATTGCAGTATTTTCAGGACCATTGTCTCAAACTGAGTTCACTATGGCTTGGAGCTTGTACCAGGCCAAGCATAGAGACTCATCCATGAGCTGTTGATATTGGGCAGTCTTGCATAGTAGTCACAAAGGCTGGAAGTTCCTCTTTCATTTTGGATTGTGGGTTTGTTACTGCTTTCACATGAACTCAGCCCTTCCCTTTTTCCTAAGGAGTGTGGATGCACGCACCAACATACTGCACGCAGATAATCCAGGAAAGTCAGTGCTGTAGGAGACAGTTTATCAAGGGGTTCTGGTTGACATTACAGATCACAAGAATGAAGAGTCTATGGTTTGTGATGATCTTTCTTGGGATGATCTAAAGCTTGATGCCTTTCTTGACGTTTGGAACAGGATCATAATGCATAGCAAATCCTTGTTACAGGAGCTTTTTCAATCTGGATGTTGGAAATCTATCATTGTCATTAAACATCTCGGTCATGGGTGGGCTCCTTTGCTTTCAAGCCACTTCAAGCAGGAACATCTGAAGCTTGGGCTAAGTTTTGGTTTTGAATCTTTCTGTTGTTTGGTAAAAGTGGTTTATATTGTCCCCAGTGCTGTTTTTGTTTGCATGAATAAACAAACAAATGATGTATTTATGGGTAATGGACAAATCATGCAAACCTACATTTTTAGAAGTGTCCTCAGATTTTGAGTGTCTTCTTTTGGTATCCCTTCCCCTACCTTGAGTGAGTCTGGTTTCCCAGAACTGTACAGAGAAGTTTAGTGGTTTGTGTAACAGTGGGCAGGTGATGCTGAAAGCTTGACAACACTAGGACAGGTTGAATGTGGTATGTGGTGTGGAGCAGTTGTACTAGGGCGAAGTTTGTCTGGGGATAGAAGGTACATAGTGTTAGATGGCTTAACTTCCTTTTCCTTACTTATAGGTTTTGTGTTAGATAAGCATGTACCTGCTGGAACCTGAACTGATGCACATGTTTTTGTGTAGTAACAGACTTTGACAGCAGAGAGAGAATTCTCTACTATGTTTTCTGTGATTGGCAACAAACTGCTTTTTTTGTGCAGATCCCATGGCTTTGCTCAATCTCACCTGTGAATAGTATCTCCTCTGCACCTATTCCAAGAAACTGAATTAGATGTTATGTGGTTTTGTAGTGCAATAGATCTGTAGCTGTAGTGAAGACACTGGTGTTACAGGCAAGTTCTATAGAACTTAATAGGTACAAAACGAACAGGGTTGTATAAAAATTACTGTAAAAACCTGCACAAATTAATAAAGAATCGTTTACTTTCTCCTGGTGATGTTAGCTATTCTACAATAGAAATCTATTTCTGTATTATTTAATTCTATAAGAATATTGGGGAAGGAATAAAAGGTAGGAAAGGTCTTATTTCTATTAAATTTTGTAGGAGTTTTCCAGCAGGGATGTAATAATTTCCATACAAAAACTAAGTTTTAATTCAATAACTACACTGGCAGGATCTCTCTCTCTCTCTGTCTCTCTGTCTCTCTCTCTGTGTGTCTCTGTCTCTGTCTCTCTGTCTCTCTCTCATGCTTTCAGTTTTGTGTTTTCTAATAGAAAATTTGTGCGTTGGAGCCAGAAGGTCGGCTGAAAATGGATTTGGTCCTGATGAAAGCAGATGCCCTTCTTCGCTGCATTACTGAGGAGAAGAAGCATGAGATATTGTCCAAACTGAAAGACATTAAAGCCATGTGGGAAGAAACAGCCATCTATATTACTCATTGCCACAGGTCAGACACATCGCTGTTTCCACAAAGAAGCATATTTGACAAATGGGATCAGATTGTGGCTTGTCTAATACTCTCAGACAGTGCTGCCTTATTCCATGCTCTGGCCCCCTAGTGGCAGGAGAGGGCAGTGCTGGCTGCCTTGGTCCCACCCTTTCTGCCAGAGACTCTGCCCCTTCTGGGAATGAGGAGCCCCTCCCCTCACACACAGACATTGCCATGGGCCCAGGGATCCTGTTAGCTCCCTTGTGTGGGGGAAAGAGAAGAGCCTTCACTGGATTCCCATGCGTATGCTGGAAAGGAGAAGAGAGTAGATGGAGCCTTTCTTTACATCTACCCACAAAGTGTCAGTCCAGTGACCTGAGAAATTATCTTTTCAGGCACAGGGTACTACCTCTGGCAGCAGGAGGGGAACCTGGGAAGTGGATTGTGATACTCTGAAGTCAATGAAGCTAGGCTGATTTACCCTTTCTGGTTCTTTAGTGCCAACATTTAAAAAAAATATCTTGAACTTCCCACCCTCTCCATAGGCCGTGGGAGAACCTTGCTTATTGTGTTTTTTACTTTCCCAACAGCCGGATCGAGTGGGTGTGGCTGCACTGGAGTGAATACTTGAAAGCCCAGGATGAGTTTTACGCATGGATTCATAACATGAGGGTTACCTTGGAGCCTGACATAGAGCTGCAGCTTGGTTTGAAGGAGAAGCAATGGCAGCTGAGCCACTCCCAGGTTCTGCTGAATGATGTCCTAAACCAGTCAGTTCTGCTGGAAAGGCTGCTGGAGGAAGCAGCCTCCTTGTTTAACAGGATAGGTGACCCAAGTGTCGATGAAGATGTCCAGAAGAAGATGAAGGTGGAATATGAAGAAATAAAGGTGGAAGCTCAGGTAAAATGCAACGATGAAAGAGAACAGGGTTTAGGATGCCCACTGGTTACTATCCAGTATTATTTACTGTTAGTGTTTCTTAGGTTTGATACAAGAGCTGAAATTCACCCAATATGGAATATAGGAAAAGAGTGTTTCTCTAGTGCAGAGAAGGTTTGAGTGTTCTTAACAGGGTAAGATGAATACAAACAATCCCAAAGCATATGCTTCCGTGCCCTTTGGTGAGTCAAAGATTGTAGTGTGATCGTGATACAAAGTAAGCAATCTAAGGAGATGAGGAAGCTTCCCAATTCTGCACCCACCTTAGATGCTATAATACAGACCACCAGATCAAGACTCACACACCATAATCCCAGGGTTGGCACGCAGTTAGTGCTTTTCCAATACTAAGTATTGGCAACCAATACTAATTGCTAGAAGATTTTCACTAGATGCTAACTCAGTTTCCTGTCTGCACTTGCCCTCGAACCCAGAGAGGCAGTGTTCCTTACACAAGAGAATGGTTAACATTATAGTTCACCTTGTCATGTCAGTGACTCATTTTGACAGTTAGTTTGGATAAAGGTTTGAGATGAGACAATGCCTGTCACTTCCACAGCCAGTGGGAAAGATCTGGTTATGGGACAAGGACTTGACTTTTGCGGGTAGGAGAGATTTACATGTAGAGTAGATTTACATCAAGAGGCTAAAGCAGTGAGAGTAGATCAAGGACCTATCTCAGGGATATCCAATCACCAGTATATTGGCCTTTATACATCAGTGGCTTTGAATTTTCTTTGGGGCAGAAAAGGGATTCCAGAGTCTGGTAACTGACTAATCCAAACAACCAGTGTCAATAAAACTGAACCCCGTTATACAGGCTCTGTCATCTGCCTGTACATCCATGATACCTGCTCTTCTTTCCCACTTCTCCACCCAGGCCAAGGAACAGATGATCATGGTGATTGGTGGATATTCTCATTCCAAGATGTCATCATCCAAGGGGACTGTTGAGTCATGTTGGAGGGGCAATGTAGGGAAGTTTGTGGTTCTATGGTAAACAGGAAGCCTTAAGTCTCCAGGACTGGACTCTTTTATGAGCATGAATTTCAGTTACTTTTCATTTAAAATATTAAATAATTATAAACCCCTCTTCTGTGCTTGCAGCTACTGCAGTGGCACTTTCTAGCGATAAATACATCTAAAGAAATATTTAGTCAGTCAGGTTGGGATTATGAATTCCAATAGATTCCCAATTTAAGTGTTTAGTGACTTCCTTTTAAGCAAAGATATGTCCTTGATTCATGAACAGCTAATATTTATGTTGTGCAGTTTGATATTTGAAAGAGCCAGTTCCCACAGACAAATTACCTGAATACAGAAAGCCTCAGTTAGATCTCTCACTGGTCTTACACCTGCCTAGATTTACATTGATTGTTACTGCTCCGAAATAAGAATCAGGCCCAGAGTATTTACATAAAATGCACAGTGATGTCTCCAGCTAATTGAGCTTCTAGAAAATGCAGCTGGAGCCTCTACAAATGCCTCCTTGCACTAAAGGAGAAAGTGAGACAGTCCAGTTGAGAAATCTCTCTTTGAAGGCTGTAGGTGGAGGGGTGGTAGAAAACTTCAGTTTTTGTGATTGAGTCCCCCATTTGTTTCATTGACTAATTCCAAGGTTAGAGGCAGCGTGAGAGTCTTTCCAGAAAGTGAATAATGGTAGCTGAAGGAACCTTGCTACCTCTCACAGTGAGAGGGAGGACTGAATGAGAGAGCTCCAGTAATCTGAGAAATTCTCCGCCCCTCTCATGATGGGAAGCCAGGCTCCGTGTAAATTGCAAATGACAGCTGAATTCCAAAGCTGGCTACAGGAGGCGGCTTGCTGGTACTTGTACATTTCACGAGTACTCAAGAAGCTTTTTTAGATCTTGTGCAGTTGTCAGTTTCTGTCATAAACTGAGCAAGTGAACTCCATTTCTCAAATGGTTCAACCGTGACATTGCTTCTCCAGTGATTTATTTTCTTGCTGCCACCAAGTATCCTTATCACTCCCAAATTGAAAATTATATTTACCAGAATTACTTTTAATTACAGTGGTTGTGACATTTTTACACACAACAGCCTCTCCCCAGCAACCCTTTTAACATCCTTCCACCCCCAAAAAAGCTATTGGTTGGTACTAACCAAGAACATGATCTAAATATAAATAATTACCAAGGACATCCTGTCTTTCTTGTTTAGCAGGAGTAGTAGTGATGTATGAAGTTTCAACACTTACTCTGTCTAGGCTGGTGTGAAACACAAACATTTCAAATCACATTGATTCTCTTAAATTTAACCTACAGATTCTTGACTCAGTCCTTCATTCTACTCCCAGACAATCCCATGTGAGTGTGTGGGGGAGGGAAGGCAGAAAGAAAGTGGCAGAAGGTGGCTTCCAGTCATTTGTATACCCACCCAATTGTGAGCTCTTTCAGGGGCTGATACAAACTCTAGTGAAATTTAAGCAGCCCTGATGGCTACTCTAAGTTATAGCATCCTCTGCAGTAAGGATATTAAATATCGAATAATTGACTAATCGAATAGTCAATGCATTTTGCATCAACTATTCGATTAGTCGATAGGGCTCCTCCGCCTCTGAAGTGTAGCAACAATCCTAAGGCTGTTGCTACACTTCAAAGGTAAAAGCACCGTGTGGTGCCCAGAGTCATCTGGGGACTCCCCCGCTGACCCCGGGCTCCATGCAGCGCTGACGCTTTGAAACGCCACGAGGAGCCTGAGTCGAGCTCCACGCGGCGTTTCAAAGTGGCAGCGCCGCACGGTGCCCGAGGTCAGCAGGGGAGTTTGTCTCCCTGTAGCCTGCTTGGGATCTGTTATTTTTTTTATCAGGGCAAATATTCGTCCCTGTGCCACATCATGACTGGTTGATGTTCTCTGATTATTCAAGTGCCACTGCAGAAGGCACAGGTTTACAGTCCTTCTGTGTTGCTTCTTAGTAAAAATAATAATTAGCTGCCTGACAGAGCTAATGGCAGAATCTTACTTTTCCTTAAAAGTTGCACTCAAAGGCTACATCTACACTGCAGCACTACTTCGGGATACGGAGGTAATCCCGAAATAGCTATTCCGCACCTTTTGAACGCACCCGTTATTTCGAAATATAACAGGCTCACTATTCCGTCTTCCCTGTAAACCTTATTCCACGAGGAGTAAGGGACATTTCGGAACAGCAGTTTATTTCAAAACAAGTGCTGTGTAGACAGCACCAAATTTTGAAATAAGCTATTTCGAAATAACATCAAAATAAGATACGCAATTTGAGCTATGCATATTGCATATCTTATTTTGACCTCCAGTGCAGTGTAGACGCACCCAAAGGTAGCTCCTGTCTGCCAGCATGACTGGTTTTCATATCACAGTTTAGCACAATATTGTGACTGTTCAAATGTGTGTCATTTATCACAAGACCTGATTGATTGCAATGTTTCCAACAGTAATCTTCAAGCCCCATGGAATGCTTCATTTTAGTTGAACAGCTTGTCCCAAACAGAGGTTAAGTTCCTTTGCAAAGTAAACTCTGTATCTCCTGCTTAATCCACCTTTGTAATTTCACTCTAAAATTCTGGAGTACATTTTCACCATAATTCTGTTTCTCAGTCAGATTTGAATCCTGTCACTTGGGAGTTTTTGCAACTTGCACATTCTGGATTGGGGCATTTATGTTTCATTTCACTTGCTTTGCCAAATCCTCAGTACAGATCAGAATAACTTCAGTAGAGTCCATTTTATACTGACTGACACCAGCCTGGGATGTGTAGCTTAATTTGAGGTCTGTGATCTCGCGCACTAGGCCAGGTCAGGCCCAAATCACATGCTTCTCTGCAGAGCTCCTAGCCTGCAAGCCAAGATCAGCAAAAGGCCCTGAAATGAAAAGGACAGCCTCCCATTTCAGTAGAGTTTGCAATACGCCAAATCATTGAGTATGAAACAGAATGTTGCCTTCTGATTGCAAAAACTATCACTGTGGGCCAGATTCTGCAGTGTGATGTAGCTGCTTTGCATTACATCACTGGCGTAGTCTGCCCCTAAAGCTCAGGGGACTGGCCCTGGAGGATCATCTCAGCACAAGGGTGATCCTGTGGTGGCTGGAACTGACACATGGACTCATGCATTTCTCTGACCCAGGATTGCTAACATCTCTGGAGGATGCTCCTTTACCATGGCGTCTTCAGACTGCTGATGCTGTTTTCAGAGAACACAGGATAAAGGAGCCCTCAGATCATTCCAACTTGATGCAGGATTCTGCACAGATCAGCTCCAGCATCAAGGGAGAGCAAACTGGCGCTTTGAGTCACCATTACCCAAAGACCAGCCAGCCCTCTGTGTGGGTCAGCCATATTCCAGGATCCATTCTGGTGTTCGGTCTTCTGTTCTCTGAATAAATGCTGAGATTCTATAGCACAGACAAGATCGGGAGAAAGCTTTAGATGCTTTTGTTCTCATGCTAGAGATGAGGTGCAAATTCCTGAAAAAGTGGAGTGACATAAGGGTGAAAGGAAATGGACTCTCTTTTCTGGGTTAAAAATGTAGTTAGGAAGCTTTGTCCTCACCATTCTGAATGTTTCTTTTTACAGTGCAGAGTGAAATTGCTTGAAAAGATAACGAAGGAACATGAGCAATACAAGACCAATGTCGACCAATTTTGGTTGTGGCTCAGAGGTGTGAATGAAAGATTGAACCACTGCATCGGAGAAACAACAAAGTTACCAGCAGACAACGGGCTAAGGACATTGCAGGTTCTTTATGATTTAAGGACTCTTAAGGGGAGAGAGAGCACTGCTAAGAAATACATTCACCTTGCCCAAATCCCTTCGTGTGTTTGTTCCCCAAACCATACAAGTGTTTAACAGAACAATGTATTTAAAAGAGAGGCATTTAAAACAAATTCTAGTGTAGTAGCTAAAGAAGGGGTTTTGAATCCAGAGTTATCCTACACTTAAACCATTGCTAACTTTCACAACTTTAGCATGAGTCTCATGTTATTTGACATTTTTTTAAAAAGTCTAGTTTTTGGAGTTGTGATTACAGGAGAATCAGAGATTTCATTAAAAAAAAGAAAAGAAAAAAGAAATGTACATTTCTAGCCTTTCTGATTACAGAGAGAAGCATATACATTAGGGATGTTAAGTAACGTTTAATTGGCTAATCGAGTGGTTGATGGAATTTCCATCGACTACTCAGTTAGTTGATTGGGGTGGGTGGGGGGACTCACTATCCCTGCTGCGGCTCTGCAGTTTAAATGTTGTAAGAGCCGGGCGTGCATTAGGTGCAGCACAAAAAGCAGAGGCACAGCAGTTGGGGACCCTGCTGCACCTCTGACTCTGCCCCCATCCTCCCATGGAGACAGTACTCAGGGGAACCAGCTTTTAAGACTGCTCTCCCTAGCAGTGGCTCCCTCTCCCCGCTCTCCCCCCCCCCCCCCACACCCCCTCAAGTAGTGACGCGACTAGTCTCTTAAATCCCTAATATAAACATGGTCTAAATGTAGCCTACAGATTCCAAGACGAGAAGACAAAATAAAAACAACCCCGAGCTTTATTATTTATTAAAATATCATGATTTAAACCAATTTTATAACAATAAGAATGGCCTTAATGAGTCAAACCAAAGATCCATCTAGCCATATGCTGTCTTCCAACAGTCACCAGTGCCTGGTGCCCCAGAGGGAATGAACAGAACAAGTAATCATCAAGTGATGCATCCCCATGTCGTTCATTCCCAGACTTTTGCAGGTAGAAGCTAGGGACACCATCCCTGCCCATCCTGTCTAATAACCATTGATAGACTTATCCTCTATGAACTTATCTAGTTCATTTTTGAACCCTGTTATAATCTTGTCCTTTACAACATCCTCTGCTTAGGAGGGTATGTCTACACTACAGAGTTTATTTCGGAAAAACGGTCATTTTTTCCCAAAAAATCTCCAATTATGTCCACACTGCAATCGCGTTCTTCTGAAAGAAAATCGAAAGAACAGAGGAGTTTTTCTGACATTAGTAATCGTCATTCTGCGAGGAAGAAGCCTTTTTCCAAAAGAGCTCTTTCGGACAAAGGCATGTGTGGACAGGGAAGAGGGAGCTCTTTCAAAAGAAGAGGAAAGAGGAAAAAGCACAGGTGCCCTGGTGGCCACTCCGTCCATAGTAATCACAGCTGAAATGCGAGATAGCGTCCACACTGAATGGATGCTATCTTTTGAAAAAACAGATCGCTTTTTCAGTGTGCTTTGGCAGTGTGGGCGCTTTCTGTCGGAAGAAGTATTTTTGGAAAATCTCTTCCAGAAAGACTTCTTCCAAAAGAAGTCTGCAGTCTAGACATAGCCAGAGCTGCACAGGTTGACTGTGTGTTGTGTGAAGAAGTACTACTTCTTGTTTTAAATCTTTTGCCTATTAATTTCATATGGTGACCTCTAGTTTGTGTGTTTATGAGAAGGAGTAAATAACACTTCCTTATTTACTTTCTCCACACCAGTCATGATTTTATAAACCTCTGTTATATCACCCCTTAGTAGTCTCTTTAACAAGTTGAAAAGTCTCAGTGTTGTTAACTTCTCCTCATAAAACATTACTCTGTGTCCTGTGCAGCAATTGAACTCGAAACCTTGGCATTATTAGCACCGTGTATCAATCAAATGAGCTGAGTAGACTACTTGATGGGGAGGCCTGATTTTTGATTTTTTGAATGCTTGGGATTGGTGACACTGTTAACAGCAGTGGTCTCCAATTTTAGCTGCCCCCCTTTGGGCTGCCCAAATGTATGCACTTTTGTGGGCTGATTATCTGTGATGCCAAAGACAGGTGACTCTTGTTGACTTCCCCTGGCATTGTGAGGCAGTGTTGAACACTTGAAAATCAGGCTTATCAATTTTAAAAGATTCCCCAATCCTTGGGAAACCACATGCCTGCAATTATATCATCAAAGTTGTCATAAGGCTACAAATATCAGATCTGTATGCAGTGTTGTTGTCGTCTGAGTCCCAGGATTTTAAAGAGACTATGTGGATGAGGTAATATCTTGTATTAGACCAGCATCTAGTGATGAGAGAGACACGCTTTTGAGCTTACATAGAGCTCTTTCCCAGACTTGAAGAAGACTTGAAAACTTGAAATTAATTCAATAAAAAGACATTAACTCACCCATCTATGTCAAATGTGGCTGCTAGCCACTTCAAAAGTGACATGCCTTGAAATAACTATTGGAGAAGAAAATAAATGCACAGATAGAATTCATATATTATTAAGTGTCACTTCCCACCCCACTACACACACACAGTGTTCTTTGAAATTAACCCTTTCTGATACCCTTCTTTTTCAGAACATTGCCAAAGATGTTAAGAATGGTGAAAAGAAATTGAAATGCCTTGAGGTTCAGTCTGCAGGGGTGATCCAGAACACCTCTCCCCTGGGAGCTGGGAAGATGAAGGATGAGTTGGAGGAGTTGAGGAAAGCCCTGGAGAAGCTGAAACTAATGTGTAGAGAGGAAGAGGAAAGACTGCTTAAGTTCCTTAAGTCAGAAAGTGCCTATCAGTCCAAAGCCAGACAGTTAGAGATAGAGGTCCAGGAATTCAGAAAGATGCTACAAAGGCTAGAAAAGGACCTGGAGTTAAGGGAGAAGCCAAAGAATGAAGAGGAGTTAGTAGCTCTGTGGAGAAAATACGATGTAAGTTGTTGTATTTTATATGCCTAAAAACAAGTGAGAAGTGTAGTAGACACGCATGATAAAATCAAAGATATGTGATCACCTTGATCACACAGATATTAGTCAGTCACAATGCACTATAGGAAAGTGCTCGGATACCATGGGGCTGAGGATGATATAAGAATATATGAAGAAAAGAATAAGGAAAAAAGTGAATGAGGAGAAAAAAACCAACAATTCTACAATCTCTGCCTCACACTGTCTGTTCTCAGCTTCTTCTTAGGCATAGCAAATGGTATTTGTTCCTGCTCATACGGCGTTGTGTCTTACTCTGCAAGTAATCCCATTAAATAAAATGTGTACCGGTGGGTGCATACACACTTATAATTTCTGGTTGTAGAAATCCCATAGTAAAACTTCTCTAACCATCAAATGGCATAAAAAGAGGGATTTTTTTCCGATAAAGTATTTTAAAATGACACCTCATTAATTTCCTGTTAGCAGCTGTAATGTATTTGCATCTGTTCTCATTTTTATTACTTTCATTATAATTCAAAATGCCTACTTTATATGTAGTATTCAGCAAGTACTGTGCAAAGAGTTGGGCAAAAGCAGTTGCAAACATTATTTACTAAATCCAAACAGTGTTTCACTCTATCCCTGTTTAATCCCTTTTCCACACACATCCATTTAGCCATAGTCTACGTCTACACTGCAGGCTTTTTACGCAAGAATGGTTGTTCTTGCGCAAAAACTTGCAGAGCGTCTACAGTGCACGCGTGTTCCTGTGCAAGTAAATTTATGGTAAAGCATCAGAAGAGAGGGCTTCTTGCACAAGAGTTATTCCTCTCCCCATGAGGAATAAGCCCTCTTGCACAAGAGCTCTTGCACAAGAAGGCAGTGTGGACGGGAACGGGTTTCTTGCGCAAGAGAACATCCACACTGCCATGGACGCTCTTGTGCAAAAGCACATCTCTTGCGCAAAAGCACATGGCCGTATGGACGCACTCTTGCGCAAGAACTCTTGCGCAAAAAGTTATTGCGCAAGAAGCCTGCAGTGTAGACGTAACCATATTGTATTCTTATAACAGTTTGTGGAAGAGCTATTAGTAGTAGTTTGAATGCAATTTTATCAGAAGTGCTGCTCACCTTAGGTCACCCAATCAGGAACAGAAATTAAGCCATGTGACTTTATTGGCCAGTCACACAGTTCAAATAAAATTCTACATATAAAATACAGGTACTTGCTGTGAACAGTTTACAAAACATCCATAGGACAGGCACAACGCTGTTTCTAAAAATTAGTCACCTAACTGTAAAAAACAACATGGAAATTCACTAAAATCCTGATAGGTTCATGAACAGTTTAAGAGCAGGAAAAAAGGCCAAATCTGATGTACAAATGATGATGATAATTACCTTAACATTACAAAGACAGCCTCCCCACCTTTTGATATTCGTAGTAACTCCAGATTAGCCACTTAATTAACTCTTACAATAAGCAATTTCCTCCTTCCTTGTCTCTTCCTCATCCGCTCTGCCCTACCTGCTATTCTATGTAGCTGATTTGTTTACTTCTTCATTGTATCCCTCTGCTATAGAATGGTCATGTCATTTCACTTTCAGAATATGATCTGAAGAAGTGGGTCTGCCCCACAAAAGCTCATCACCTAATAAACCATCTAGGGTTACCAGGTGGCTTAAAAAAATACCAGACACACTTGATCTCCAATGGCAGTGGGGAAACTGGCTGGGAGGGGAGCGGGGCTGGCTGGGAGGAGGTGGGGGGAGAGGGGCTGAAACCGGCTGGCGGGAAGCAGGACTGGCAGGGGAGGGAGGGTCAGGGGCAGCAGAGCTGGCCAGGGGAGATGTGGGGAGGGGATCAGCTGGGG